ACAGCAATTGTACAGCCCAAACATCTCTGAGCAATAGGTCTCTGGTAGTCTTGATGTCTAGGCCAACAATTCCCACTTCATTCTTCTCAGGGAAGGGGCAAAGAGAATCCAGAGACTCTCATTCTGCTGTTACATTAAAAGGGTGAGGCACAACAGCCTTGGCACAGTCACAAGAGCACATTCACACTAAAGTGTAAATGACTCACAGCTCCTTTTCTATTTTTAGGTTGGGGAGTTGCTTTAGAACATAAGGGGGAACTAAAGAATATTCCTGTTACATACAAGGCAGAGAAAAGGGAAACTAGTGGTGACAAGACAAATCATCTCTTTGACATTTGGCAGGCTCTACTTATTACAGCTCTGGGGGTGAGGTGGGAACAAAAAGATGCTGTGTAAAGAAATTTATGCCATCCCTGTTGTAGTGGGGTGCAGTTTAGAGGGGTCACTGATCAAGCAGAGATCCAGAGAGTATTTCGTTCTAAGTCAGAAACAGAAATGTATAAAACACCGCCTTTCCAGCATCAGAAATGAGTAGTGGTAGTGGAGACCTACCCAAAACAGGAAAGAGGACCACGTGAGGTAGAGTGCCATGAGCCTACATCCCAGTGCCGCTGCTCATGACTGTAATCTTGAGTAGGTCCCTTAAAGTCTCTGGACCTCAGTTTTGCCATCTGTGAAATAGGGATAATATTATCCAGCATAAAATTGGTTATGAGGCTCATGTAGGGCCTGCCTGGGATGATGTGTTACTAATGGTTAAGAACACAACTTCTGGGGTCTGACTGAACAGGCTGATATCCATGCTCAATACGTTCTAGCAGAGCCCTGGGTGATCTATTTAACTTTTCTCACCTGTAAGCTGAGACAAAAGTACCCACTTTATAAGATTATTCCAATAATTAGTTGAAATAATGCATGCAGAGAATTAAGCATGGTATTTTTATTAAACTAGCTATTAAAATGTGTAAAACATAAAGTATTGTATGGATTTTAGGACAATGCAAAGACTCTTTGCTGGCTGCAATAGTTCGGGGCCCCTTCAGATGGCTAAAGGCAGAATTTGTATATGTAAATATGGGGTGCTTATCTCTGCTCTGGATACTGAGGGCTTACCCTGTTATTAAACTTGTTTAGTAAATGTTGAACTGTCATGAGGCCTAACATTTAGTTCTAGTTATTAGATAAAACATTTGCTTTGAATGGTATTTGAATTGCCAGGTTCTAGATTATTCTGGTTGACAAACTCTTCGTATTTTATAAAGAGGCTAAAATTGGTATGCTATTGCAGAACAGATGTGCCATTTTCAAGGTATATTAAACCATGATTCACTGGAACATTGGTCCTACTGGCAACAAATTCAGAGCAGGCTGGACTTTATTTGGTGAAGAAACATTGAGTAGAAGAGAAAGGACATTATTTTATGTATTTTCGTTTTCAAATTACTGTAGCTTAAACCTTTTAGCCATCGTTACCCACCTTCGGTCTGCTAAATAAATGAATCAGTACATTTCTAACTTACAGAATTTTTTAACAAAAGAAAATGTAATTTGATAGCCAAATCAACATTAAACATTATACACTTAAAAAACCACAGGCAAAGACAAAAACATGATGACACTAACTTTTGTTAAAGTATGCTTACCTATGGTTTCCCTCTGAGGCACGTTCTTTCACGCTAAGCTTTCAACATAATATGAAAATGAAGGAGATGCATTTTGCAAAGCAAAACACATCTTAGGCAAAACATACATCTCAAATTAACACTGTCACAAAGTTTTAGAATTTAGTAAGTTCATTAATTTAAAAGTTGGGATGTCTGAGTCCTTCTATCCCAAAACAAGATCTTGGAGGGACTTCCACAGCTATGTAATACCATGGTCACAGGACCCTTTCTGAAATTATTAATCTGAATACATCATATGAGGATAAATTCCATCTTTTTGAAAACGTTTAGGAAAATGAGCTTGGTATTTATAAAATGAAGCTCTCTTTGGGTGGGTATCCTAAGACACGTCAAGCCAATCAGCCTGTAACTGTCAAAAAACATTGGTAGGTACAAAAGTGGGGTGGGAGAGGAGTGACTTAACTTTGTTAAGTGATGGGAAAGAAACAGTAATAGCATATCTCAATAAAATGTGATTTAGGAATATTTAAAATACTAAATCATTAAACTGACAAAGAAATATAAATCATTCAGAAATAAACTCATTAGGTCATCAAATCCTGTTAAATCTGCAATTGGGAAGAGCAAGGTGTACAATCCATACATTTAAACACACGGGCTCACTTTGTACAATGTCAATTTACTCCTTAATATGTTATTAATATGCATTTTCCAAAAGGATGTATTAGTAAATTGTACACATCTACTTCTTGGCACCATCATATAACCTGGTACAACATATGCATTCTTCTTACAGTTAAGGCATAAGGATGGTATGAAAATTAGAAAAATAAATGCCCTATTATGTTGTGGTCAGGTTTAAGGCATGTGAATTTTTATCTTCATACAAAAGATTAAAATCTAGATATTAAAAAGTAGTGCAGTATCAGTGATGCATTATCCCTGAGTTCCCAAAATGTCACATCACAAAAATATCCTGTAATTGCTTGTAGTTTATTCCTTGGCTTTCCTCTTTTCTCTCTGCATCTTTGTAACAATTTTTTAAAAGTGGAAATATAATTGTTGGCAATGCTAACAGCTGTAGAAATGATTACAAGGTAGGAAAAGCATAACAGGAATGTCAAGAATCTGGCAGTAACATATATGGAACATTGTTCAGGACAAAAGAGGAGAAGGAAGGAAAAAAGGAGAGGAGTTTATCACCTCTAAGAATTTTCAAACTAAACCTCATTGCTTAATAGGAAAAAAAGATTCCATATTTAAAGTTAAGTCACAGATAACTACCAGCTAAAGCATGACATCACCAGCATTGGAGTCAGCAGAAGTGTGTTTCTGAAGGACAGTGTTGCAAGAGGATGTCGACAGGTTTTCAGAGCCAGGAGACAGAAAATAATTCTACCTCTGTCAATTGAAGGACCTTAGGCAAATCAGTTTACCTCTGCTAGACTACACTCCAAAATTTAGACATTCAAAAATTTGATATTAATAACCACATGAAAGTCTCGTGTTGAGGTGAATATGTATTTGCTGGTGAAAGATATGTTGGTTTTTAAACAGACAGCACTCTGCAAACGTAGGCTATTGTTGAGTTTTGCTGGTTGTCAAATTCTATACAGTTATACACATCTGCGAGGCCTCCTAATGGTGTTTTTCCAACGGCTAAAGGTTTATGAATAAGACAATTTTCCTGATGGTATTAACCCGATGCTTTTCTTAAACATGTAACCTTGAGTTCACTATACAAAACAATGCTTTGATTAGAGCAATGCATATAATAAAGGTTACCCTAGTTTCTTAGACCCTAGACATCATTCACAAAAAAGAGAACTGCTTTTGAAAGGGATGTATTTGCACAGGGAAGAAAAGTTTTCTACTTCTAATTATAAATGATTTATTGGTGTAAGCAAAACAACAGCCTATCTGAGAGGCACTTCTATGAACATCCTCACGTGTGATTTGCAAGATTGAAGAAGAGGGAAAAATGCCTCAATTGTACCAATGATGAGAAAACACCAAAACTACAAAGCAGGTTTCAGAAAACCAAACTCATAACCAAGGACAATAATAAAGCAATGTGTTGACATATACTCTGCAAGTTTTCCTCCATAAATAGTTTACAGAAATTTTGTAATTTCTGTAAATGCATCCTATAATAATTTTGCATCTTGCTTTTTTTTTACATTAAATATCAAGTAGATTTTTATAGGGCAATTATTTGAAAATTATCTCAAATACATGGGGAAATACACATCAAATGAAAAAATGCAGTGGGTGATAGAGATACCATGAAGAGCCTCAAATATTTCCCATCTCATTGGAGAGAAACAAACATGTTCTCATTTAGAATGAGTGGGAGTTACCAAACTGATTTAGGCCTCTATATTTAACTTCCAGTCAAAAAAGGTAGTTCCATCTAACAACAATATTATGGTGAACAAAAGAAAAAATTAACTCTAAATTTGCAGTAGGGTCTTTTCTTCGGAAGTACCAAATCCCATCTATTACCAGCTCCACGCTTCAGGCCTAAAATGGATCTCCCTGAAGCAATGACAGAATTTTTGCCAAGTGACGAGGATATAAACACCACTTTGGTTGCACAGTGAGACATATGCTCCAAAGAAAACTGGTTCAAAAACAGGCAAGTGGGTTTCTACAGAATAAATGAGAGCCCTGTCAATGGCTTCCTCTTCAGGGCTTTGTGTCTGTACTTGCGTGGTGGCTCTTTGTTTCATCTATGGATAATGGTGCACATGGTGTTCATAATTCCTTACACTCATGAACTGCTATAAATTTGTTTTTGGTATTCCAGAGAGTCCTAACTTCAGCTTCTGGGCAATGCTGAGGAGGCACCCTATATTCTAGACTTACCTTTTGCAAGGTGTACTCTCAGCATTGTGGGCGATTTCCATGGGAGAATATTCTATTTAAAGAACTACTGTCCCAGCATAAAACAAAAAATCATTTATGAAGATGCAGGAGACTCAGAAAACTCTAGATTATGTTTGCACAAGCATAATGTCAGAGCCTCCTTTCCCCACTCCACAAGGGGGTCAGGAAACGAGTACTCAGCTGTGAGAAAAGACATACAGAAGAATTCATGTGGTCATGACAGCAAGGACATGGCCGATCCTCCAAGGAGGATGTGTCATACACTTCATGAACCCAAGAGTGTGCTGTAGGGTCTGAAGGGCAAGATGCTGGTTCACTGATGTAAAGGAGAGAGGGAAAAAGCTTCAACCAACTAGAAAAACAGTCCTTATGCATGCTATTTTTTATTTCAAACACAGGTACAATATCAATTCCTTCTCTGAGAGAGTATATTTTAAAATAGGATACATTTTTAAAGGAATATTTAAAGGACACATTAAAATTTATTTAAAAAACTTTTCAAAAGAAACAAAAGGTATGAATTTTATTTAATCCTTAAGGAAATGATTATTTTCTCATCCACATAAATCATTAATTTTGTTTTTCTTTATCTCCTTTATTAATCTACATTAGAAAAATAAACTTTTCGTACACTAAGAACAAGCAAACCAGTCTCAATTGACAAAATGTACCAATGTAACACAATTACTTTCACCTTTAATTTACAGGCAGCCAGATTCAAAATCCTTAAAGTTGCTTAAACTTAAACATGACAATGACAACCTAAAAGGTATAATGTTGATTGGAGCAGATATTTAATTGGAAAATTGATGATTTTCCATTTCCAATTAAATCTCTAGATAGAAATGAAAAAAATTAAAAATCATATTTAAGAAAAGCCAAATCTTGGATTGTGAGGTATCTTTTTAAGGATGTTTCAGCAGAAAAAACAAAGACTCTCACAATTGTGTAGCTGCCTGGATTAGGTGGGTACCCTGATCAAGGAGATGGGGGATGATTTGGCTTTAGTATTCCAATACTAAAGTTTATAATGAGAATAACATGTTGCTACAAAATCCAGTCTCTTCCTCAGATGCCTTCCACAGAGGGCAGGAAGATTTGTCAGTTTTGTTTGCTGATGATGCCTGGTTCTGCCAACAAACAACACCTGTCACATGGTAGGTAGTCAATATACATTTGTTGAATAAATAGAGAAAAAAAGAACTGTACAGTATGTTTGTGAAGCCAACTGTGTGTACATTGCTATTGAGGTACACAAAGAGTCTTTGTTTTAAATTTGAGAATGAGGACTTTCAATGGAATATATCTGTAAAAATGAAAGAAAGACATTACTGTCTGGACTCTTGTACAGCAAGAGAAGAAAAACCACTAGCAAAGAGCCAACTCACCTGATAGACCTGGATCAAGCATGTGGCCATGGAGAACACCCCTGGGACTCTAATTCTGGCACTCCTGCAAGCTGGGTACTTGGGCAGGACAGCAGCAGCACTCATGAACTGGGCAGCACCTGTTGGTGAGGGCTGATCACATGGATTCTCTCATCCCAGCCTTACAATCAGTCCTTCAGGTACATACTTTTTCTGACTTTGCTGATGAGGAAACTATGCACAGAGGTTACACAGCTTAACAAAGGGCCCTCACCTCATGAGTCATGAAATGGAACTTTAGCCTTTCTTTGTATCTGGTCTTAGAGCCAATACCCAAGAACCACTGTACTGTACACATTGTCTCAGAGAAACTTACTCTTCCTGGGCCTCAGTCTTTAAAAGGTGGGCAGTTGACTTAATAAGAATTAAGGATCAATGATTAGGGTTCAAGGCACTCCAAAATTCTGGTCTTTATTGAAAAGGCTACAGATGTCTCACCTTAGTAACACCCTATCATCTTGATATTCTTGGTTAATTAAATATGGGAAACCAATTTCATAGTAATTGAGGTCAGAAAAAAGTACTCATGACATTTTAGAATATAATGACAAAGCCATAGATAAATTTTAATGCAACTGTAATTACTTAAAACTGTTACAGCATGCAATGTGTTACCACAACAGCTAGAGAAACACTAATTTACTCAGCCTATTCTTCTAGACCCATAAACACTAGGATTAAATAAATATTTTCATTGAATTTATTCTACCCTTCATTGCCATTTATAGATAGCTTACTCGTCAAATATTACTTTCTAATTGTTTTATGTTTCCTAACTAGCCTGTAATACTTTGGCAAGGACCTCAAACAATAGTAGACAGTAGGTATAAAATAGATGGCTACATTGAACAGATGACTAAAAGGATGCCTCCTGAGTACCTATATCTTGAAATATACTTTATTGTGCCTTACTTTCAATTTGTGATATTAAAATGTAGAAATCGCCTATTTTATGTAATAACAATAAAATCCTTCTTTGCTGAAAATATGCACAAATAAAGTTTACAAGCTTAAAAAATTAAATCGCAGTAATGGTCAAGCTTTCCAATAATAAAATACATTTTCATAAGGTTTTCATTTTACAAAAACTCAAATAGCTTCATGAGTTCACAAAATAATAAATTTTTCAAGATATTAGCATATTCTTATACTGGAAGAGCAGAGAATAAAATTTACTTGGAGATCGAGCATTTGCTTCTTTAAGAAATACTTCTTTTAGTATTTTTACTTTAATATTATGAAAGCTACATAATTACATTCAGATTCTTTAACTATTCCAGTAGTTAATTTTTAAAACTTACGATGAACAGTTTTGTTTAAAATATGGAACATTGGTAATATGAAAATCTGAATTTGTAAGAATGATTTGCATTCCTGATTTTTTTTTTTCTGATACAACAAATGATGAAATAACTAATGGTTCCACAGAGGATAAAATGTCTCAAATCTGTTGGTTCTGAAAGTGAAGCAAGATTTTATACTGATACCATGTATCACTGAGATGCCAGAAGGAAATGGAATTAAACTCAGATAGTTCAAATGGAGAGATTTTAATGAAGGGACAACCTACAGAGGTGTTGTCAGGGTCAGGGGGAATCAATGAGATATGCTTAGAACCCACCAACTGGCAAACCTCTCCCTGAAGATGGAGGAGGAAGGAGTGATACTGTAGTGAGAGCTTGAGCCTAAGGGAGGAGGATGGGCCGCTGAGCAGGAGGCACCATCCTGAAAGAAGAATCCTCTGCCAGATACTTTTCAGGGTCATTTCTTCACACTCTCTGCAGGGAAGCAGGGAGACAGCAGGAAGAAATATCCTAACCTCACTCTCCTCCCTCTGCCAGTGCATTCCATTGGCCAAATCCTCCCCGAGGTCAATTGGTGGTGATCAGCTTCCAGGGGCAACAGGAGGGAAGAGGAGGGCAGAGACTGGCTCAGGGGTGGGGGATCATGCACATTAGGGGCTCAGTTGTTCAAATACCTGTCACTGAGGCCTGATAACGGTGGGAAGACTGAGCATGCTCCTCTGACCTAATTTCTAAGAAATCTACCGGAAATAACATTTGGGGATTTTTCCATTTAACAAATTTTTTAAAAAATAGCTGTCCTCTCAGCTCCATTTCCCATGCATTTTCCTCTCCTCAAGCTGTATTTAAATTCCTTCTTTCATTTTCCTTCTGGTAACAAAGACGTCTGTGGCTCAACAGACGTTTCTCTAAGACCCCATCCTGTTAGGTCTCTGAGCTGTGGGAAGTATTTATACAATTGCCAGTGAATATAAGATCCAGGAATTTCCCTAAGATCCCTAACAAAATTGGTGATAAGTAGTCCCACATGTTAATCCAGCCACATATGGATGACAGCACTTACTGTTTCTTTGACAAATGCCAAATACATTTGAAATAAATACCTGACATATTTGTTTAAGTGCTTTCTAATCTATTAATTTTATATATGCATGAGTCCGTTTTGTATATCTTCTGATTATAGGATAAATGTAAATAAATCCAAGGAATAATTAAACCTACCACTTTCAAGAAGCCTTCTTTGTAGAACTGGAAGAGTCTTAAATAGGCTTTTCAGGTATGCATCTCTTATTATCGCTAAACACCAACTCCTGCAAGGCAGACATCATGTGTGGGTCATCTTTAAAGTAGGCACAGGCCCTAAAACAGTGACATGCACATTGCAGGCACTCCATAAATGTTTGCTGAATTGGCTAAACCTTGGTTTGTCCCCATAATCAACCACCGCAAACAGCACACAGATAATTACTTCTTGGAAAGATTCCAGCTAGTGTTTGATGTTACCTATGTGGTTTTTCTCTCAAGAGCAGCTCTGTAGGATTACATTATTTTCTGTTTTTTTTTTTGTTTTTTTGTTTTTCCCTTTGACCTTAATGTCATCTACTTCAATAACAGCTTCATACAAAATTCCTACCGGCACATACCACAGCAGATTCAAGGCCTTGTTTTAAAAATGGTGCCAGCATCTCTTAATTTGGAAGATATATTGTCTCTCCTGAACATGGGCTAAGAAAATGTATAATTTGGTATTAACATAAGAGCTGAAGACACTTTAAATGCACTGTTTCATTTTTATAAGATAAAAATAATTCTAAGAATCAAAATGTTATCAACAGACCTGTCCTTCATTAAAAAGTAAAACTGCATTTTCCTACATTTTATGAAAGTGTCCAATTACAAACAATTTTGAAATGTAACTTTTAAAAATGTAAACAGCAAAAATACTGTATTTAAAATAAATCTGGACAGGCAAAAAATATACATATATACCCAGAAGACAGAGATTTTGGTGAAAATTAAGATATTTCATCTTTGAACAACTTAGAATCTTTCCTGCATTTTATAGTCTAGTTCCAGGTATTAATCTGAAATAACCTTGAAATCCTAAATTTAACACCCTTCAGAACAAAGTAGCTTTTCTCTTCTGCTTTATGAGCAAATGGACTAAATACTAGGGAATGGTACTGTCTGGGCCTTTGAACCAAGACTGAAAGAGATGAAATCCTATACGATATGTATAAACATTAGAGAATCCATTTTGATTTAATAAAAGGATGAATTTGTTCTATATCCTATGAGAAAATGGTTCCCTTTTCCTGAAAATGTTATCTCATTCCAACAATAGAGAGTTGGATTTTTTCCAGGGTGTGGTGTGGGGGGTGGACAGAGTTGCCATGAATACGGCATCTATCAAGACTGCTGTTATATTCATTTCTCAAAATGCATTGTAGTAGGAAATTCAGAATGCAGTAAGAGAAAATAAATGTTTGACTTCAAAATATAAGGCCACATTTAAAGCAGCAGGTGAAGTATAGAACAGTTAACAGTACAAATTCTTTATCTGCAAACTTGCAGTTCCCTAAATCTCTGTAACACATCACTTTTAAAAGCCTCAGAGAAGCGGTTCTGTAATAATTTACCAATAATTCAACCCCTCAATAGCCTTAGCAAGTGAAACCTGATAGCCTTACATTTTAGAAATGACCCAACTTGATCCTTTTATTCTTCAGAATATCTCTCTCAAATTTTCATTTGCTTTTCATTAATTGATGAATTATGAGATGTTTTAGGTGCCTGTCCACAAAGAAATGAAATTTTCACTTTCCAGGAACCTAACAAATGAAAAGATAGAAACCAATTCCAACAGAATGTTACCAAAGAAATCTTTTAGAGTAGACTGTTAACATTATTTATTTATATTTATCTGGCTCTACTATTTGTGGTACATTTACACTTCAAAGTTAAACCTCAAATAACATCATAGTGAGTGGTTGACTTCATGTTTAGCTGAGGTCTTGAAGACTGAAAAAGACCATGACAAACGCACATCTATTGTCTTGGCTACTGTATCCGTCTTCATCATCATTCTGATGGTGTGCAATGTATTGCAGCTCACCCTTTGGGAAGGACTAAAGTAGACATCTGTTGGTTCTGCTTGCTCAGCATTCCTACCCTAATTTTCCTTTGGAGAACCCCTTTATTCTAGACCACGCGAAGTTAATGCCAAACCCCATTCCAGGGGATGCACCTGAATCCAACTTCAGTTATCTAAACAGTCCCTTCTCCACGTTCAGAGAAGAGCAAGCGACTCAAACTGCCTTCATAAGGACAGACCTGGGACTTCTGCTGCAAATATTGAAGAATAAGTACTCTTTTTTTCTTGCTAGGACTAAGCTGGTAGTACCTTCTAGGAGGCTATCATATGGAAACAACTTGTTTGAAAATGAAGCCACAACTAGAAAACAGATCCTGGTAACCCGGATTGACGGATCCAGCCCTACCTTAAATGGCAGGACCTAACCCGAGGCTTTTTGCATCAACCAAGTAAAGTCCTTAAGCCAGTTTGAGTTGGTTTTGTCACTTGCAGCTAAAAGAATTCTGACTCTAACAAAGTGACAATAGCAAAAATAAACATGACTGCTTTTGAGGTTTCTAATGGATTTTCCTCCCTAGACACATGATTTCATTTAATCCTCACAATTCAAAAAAGCACATGTCTATTAACATTAAATTAATGTTCATTATTTTGAACACATACTATGTGGACAAGGGATGGGGAAAGCCAAGGGAGCAACCAATGTGAAATCTCACTTATATGGGAGGGAAGTGGAGGTTACATATCTCAGGGCACTTAACAGATATCATCAAATGAAAGAATAAACAGTATATGGGAGAGGCAGGAGGTGATTCTTCAATTCCTGGATGAAAAATTAGGAGATAATGAACTCCTAACAATCAACCTAATGAGAATGGCTCAAGCAACAGGGCATAGAGAGGGAGTTAGGTTAGACATGGGGTTCTTGAGAGTTTTCAGCTCTGGGTGGGTGCAGCTGCTGTCAGTGGGAAAGGGAAAAAGGAAGGGCTGAGTGTGGAAGGCAAGGAGGGAGGAGACAGTGTGAGTCAGTGAAACAGGGCCCTTAGAATGACAAGTCTGGACCAGAGAGAGGCTAAGACTGGAAATACAAGATGGGTAACCACTGGCATACAGATGGCAGTTCAGACTTGGGCACTGCCCACCAGAGCCTCAGCATGAAGAGAAGAGGGAGAGGCTGGCCACCACCTCCCTCTGGGTAATCGTAATCCTGCTCCGTGAGCTCCTGAAAACAGGCTCTTTCACTCGCCCCATCTCTTGCTCTTGATTGCAACCCGGCATTCAGGAGGCACCCAGTAAATATCTGTGGAGTGACCGACAACGCAGCTCTAGGGCACTGAGAAGACCCCCGGGCACCAGGGGCTGATTCTACAAGGGTGCCCCTCCCGGTCCCCTCCAGCACGCTGCCAGAGCCGCCAGTCTTGGCCGCTACACGGGATGCTGCCTCATTATTCAGCTCTCACCTCTTAAATTAGTTCATGCTCTCACATTAGGTGTAATCACAGCTGGCAACGCTTTCTGGGGATGTCTCAGAAAGATCTGAGTTGAAAAAATATTTTTGTGTCATATTTATTTAAAGTAAAATTGCTGCTTCCTCCCCGCCCCTTCCTTTCCTCCTGGCCCACCCAGTGACCCCGGCCGTGCTCAACGGAGGCGGCAGTCGGAGGTGAGACTTCCTCCACATAATTCCTTAAACAGCTATCAACTAAGTCTTAAAGAAAAAAAAGAGATCAAGAAGCAGAGATATGGCTGCTGGCGATCCCAAAGCTGGTGTACCCGCGTGGGGGAGAGCGTACCCTGGGGGCGGCCGGCAGGCCGGACCAGAGACTAGCCCCTAGGCCCAAGTCAGGAGCACTCCGCCGGCGCCCCGCGTCTCTCCAGCTCCCGAGGCTGCGCTGACTCCACTGATCACGCCAGGTTCAAGGTCGCCCAGTGGGGACCGGAGCGCCGGGAGCCGGTGGTAAATGTTCCAGCCGGCCTCTGCCTGGGGTCCGGAGCCGCGTTTCTGCTTTGTACTTGACGGACAGGTCCGCCCGCCCTCCCGCCGCCCGGCTACCAGCCCGCGTTCATCCTGCAGGGCTAAGTCTCCCGCACTCGGCCTGCAACGCCTGGAGCGCTCCCTTCCTCTCCCCATCTTCGCCGCTCTCCTCTCTCCCTGCCACTTGGCAAAGCTGCATTTTGACTTTCACATTTTTGACTACGTGTGTGTAGTTCCAAGTCCATGCGTGGCACGAAAATCCACTTAAGGTAAAAATTATTATCGAAAAATCGCCCATCTGGTGTTCTACACTCAAGGCTAGGAGGTGCAGGCACGAGTGCATAAAGCACGCCGTAAGGGTGCACAGTAAATAAAAAGTACGGATGCAAAATGTAAATTTTAAGTGCAAAACAGAAAAGCAGTGCTCGTTGCCGCCCCGCATGCTGGATTTTAAGGGGCGCGAAGGCGGGCCTCGACTGCTTTCGCTTAGCCCCGCGTCCTCAGCGCCCTGCCCAGTACCCGGTACTCCGTACGGGTTCAGTGATCTCTCCTGAATAAGTGAACAAATTAAGAAATGAATGAATGACCTCTCGATCCGACCTCCGCGCCTGGCAGAGCAGAGCAGTCGCTGCGGGAGGCGGGAGAGAGCGAGAGGCCAAGCTCCACCGTCGCGGCCGCCTGCTGGAGCAGAGGGACGCGGAGACGCCCAGCGCGGCGAGTGCCTGCCTAGTAGCTCCCGGGTACCACGTGCGTCCACCCCAAGCCCCGCAGGCCCCGCCCCGCCGCGCGCGCACGCGCCCTGCAGCCCCGCCGCCGGGACCCTGCGCTAGACTCGCCCAGAGCGCCGGCTGCCCTCCCGCCCGCGCCCGCTGGGAGGCGCTCCCCTCCCACCCGGCGCGCCCACAGGCGGGCGGGCGACTCGCGGCCTCTAGCGATTCCACTCCCGACCCCGGCGCGCGCCTCCTCCTACCTGAGGGCCGAGCAGCGGGGGCGGGCGTGAGGGTCGAGCAGCGGGGGCGGGCGGGAGGGCCGGGGGGGGCGGAACAGGATCGAGGCGGGAGGCAAGAAAGTGACCGGCCGCGGCGGACCCTCGGTGCGCGGACGCGGGCGCGCGCCCGCGCTCCCTTCGTCGACTCCCGGCCAGAGCCCAACCCTGCTGAAGCGCGCCGCCCGCCTCGCCGAGCCTAATAACAACGGCGCCCGGGGTCAGGTGGCCGCGCGCGGACAGCGCCGTCATTGGCTAGGTGGGGAGCGCGGCGCGTCAGGATTGGCTGGGGGGCGGGGCCTCGGTCGGGACGGGGGCAGGGCCTCTGAGGGAGGCGGGCCGGGAGGCGCCGGGGGCGGGTCTAGGCCGCGGTCCGCGCCTTTGTGCCCGGCGCGCGCTCTCCGCCCGCTCCGGCTGCAGCGCCGGCTGCATCAATAATTCAGAGCGGCGGCGGCGGCGGCAGCGGCGGGTGCGGGCAGGAGGCGGCGGCAGCAGTGGGACCGAGCAGCAGCGGCTATGCATCCAAGTGCGGCTGGGCAGCCGCGGCACCCCTGAGGCCCGGGCGGGGCTCCGAGAGCACAGCGCGGAGGGGACGCTAGTCCCGGAGTGCGAGGAAGAGCTGTAGTGTCCAGAGCGGCGGCGGCGGAGCTGCGCACGGAGCTGAGGAGGGGGCTTCGGAGAGGGACTGGGACGGGGGGGGCGGCTGGCGTGAGCAGCGGGGGGGGGGGGGGGGGGGGTGGGCGCCGGAGGCGCGATGCTGGGCGCCGTAGAGCTGCTGCTGCTGGGGGCTGCGTGGCTGGCGGGCCCGGCCCGCGGGCAGAATGAGACGGAGCCCATCGTGCTGGAGGGCAAGTGCCTGGTGGTGTGCGACTCCAACCCCACGTCCGACCCTACGGGCACAGCCCTGGGCATCTCTGTGCGCTCCGGCAGCGCCAAGGTGGCTTTCTCTGCCATCAGGAGCACCAACCACGAGCCGTCCGAGATGAGTAATCGCACCATGATCATCTACTTCGACCAGGTGAGTGCTCCTTCCTCCCGCGGCGTGCAGATTGGGCTGGTGTGGGAGGGGTGGATGGAAGACCGATGCCCGGTCCTCTGCAAGGGCTCTGCGGAGGCGCGGGGACGACAGTCCGGGACCGATTGCTGCCCACTCCCCTTCGTTCCCGTCTCGTTATAGGTACTAGTGAACATTGGGAGCAACTTTGATTCAGAACGCAGCACTTTCATCGCCCCGCGCAAAGGGATCTACAGTTTTAACTTCCACGTGGTAAAAGTCTACAACAGACAGACCATACAGGTCAGCCGCCGCCTCGGGCCGGGCCCTGGCCCCGTAGCGGGGTTACTGGCCGCGGGGGTGCTCGGGCTGTCCGGAGGTGGTAGGCAGAAGTGGCGGCTGCATGTACTTCGGGCTGCTTGGAGGGACAGATAGCGGGGCCTCTCAGTTCTGTGGCTTCAGCTGCCCTCTGCTTTCCCTGTCTCTGGCTCTTGGGATCCAGCTCCATCCCTCCAGAGACAGAATTTTCTGCTTCCGCCTTCCGGGCCCCTCCGAAGGGTTCCCTGGATTGCAGGGACTTCCTTGTAACTGCTGCTGTTAGCGCCCCAGACAGCTGCCGCTTGGGGAGCCTTCCCGGACTTGGATGCTTGTCTTCAGCACCACGGACAGGGCCCCCGTTTTCTCCCACTTGCCCCCATCCCCACCCCTTGCGGACTCTGGGTTTTTGAGCTAGCGGCATTTAGCCCCGGGGGGTGAGGGGTGGAGAGAGAAGGGAAGGAGGAGGCGTAGTGCTACTCTTTCCCGGCTCCAGCCGTGTGCCAGCAAGCACTTGCCTGCTCTTCGGGTCCCCAGAGGTGTCCAGGTTTCCTTTGGGCGCCGAGAGAGGCGGGACGCACAGCTGGGGAGAGGGCGCGAGGCCCTTGGCTGACGGTGCCACCACAAGGGCAAAACCAGGCGGTGGCGGGCGCGGCTGTATGGGGGCTGGAATTGAGCCCGTGGTTTGGGGAGAAAATACATTGTACCGCTCGGTGCGAGATTTCTAATCAGAAATCACAGTGGCTTCTCCACTGTGTCTTGGCAACTGGGTCCAGGAGGGATTAGGGGCTTTTTGTTTGTTCGGTTTTGTTTTTCCGGTAGCGCCGGAGGGAGCCTGAGTTGCTGCGGCTTTTTTGTTTGTTCTTTGTTTTTTGAGGCTGAGGGGAAACGGGAGAGAGGTCAAAGGTCTCAGGGCGCTAGAGCCACCTCATGGGTTTATTAAATTGGATCACAGAGCACAGTCGAGATTCGCTTGGCGCGCTCATTTGAGAAACTGGAATAAGAGCAACTCCCGTTTTGGGGACAGACCCTTCCTGTCACCCAGATGTGTGGTGTTTCGCCCCACTGGAGCCTCAGTAGTAAGCTCCAAAGCCCGTTTTCCACCATTCGCCCCCGCCCCCCGCCACCACCACCTCTCCGTGCTTCCAGGTCTCACAGGCTGTTGGCCAAGCAGCGGGGAGGTTCGCTCCACCGCGGCTTCTGTGGCTGCCTAGGTTGCGCCTCTGAAGCCGGCCTTTCTCTTTCTCAGGTGAGCCTCATGCTAAACGGGTGGCCGGTGATTTCAGCCTTCGCTGGTGACCAGGACGTGACCCGGGAGGCCGCCAGCAACGGAGTCCTAATCCAAATGGAGAAAGGCGACCGAGCATACCTCAAGCTGGAGCGGGGAAACTTGATGGGGGGCTGGAAGTACTCGACCTTCTCCGGATTCCTCGTGTTTCCTCTCTGACTGGCTCATAGCCTGAAGGGAGGCAGGGAGAGGGCGAAGGCAGAAAGGGGAGTGAAAAAGAGGCTGAAATTAAGAGGGAGAGAAAGCAGCACGACTTGAAACTTCCTACATGTTCTCTAACTGTATCTGGGTAAAAAGGTGCGCGCCAGCGGTGGGACAACTTTGTCCATTTCCTTATTAGGAGACAAAAATTTCGCTTAGCTCTGCGCACTCCCGTTTCCAAAAATAAACTCGCCTCCCCCATTCCAGTTGCAGTAATCAAGAAAGAGACGGCTTTGTCATTGTTTCTTATCCCCCAACTTCATGTTCCCTGCAATTTATTTAAAGAAACTTTGTATTTCACTACATAATCTGAAATCTTTCTCCCTAGCCCCCTCTGAATCCTTCTGCCTACTGAAATCTAATATATTCCCCGCCCCCAACCTTTTTTTTCAGTTTGGAGAGGGAGTAAGTTTTTTTTGTTGTTGTTGTTTTTGTTTTGTTTTGTTTTGTTTTGTTTTGGATGGGGAAGGTAGTTCTAATTTGGCAAGTGTTGCTCTTCTTAAAACACTGCTCAAGTTAATTAGCTGAAGATACTTAGTGTCCTCGGCTGCTTGTTAGCAGAGAAAGGACTCACCTTAGTGGTGACTGGTTTAAAAAAATATAAATCATTTGTACACGAAGAACTCTTGCCAGTGGAAACTGGCTGTGTTTCCGTATTTCTATGTCCTACTCGGAGTGATCGTGAAATCTAAGGCTGCTTGATGTTCTGATGCTTGTCAATGCCGTCGTGCTCTGTGGCTCAACGAAACACCAAGGAGCTTCTTCGGGACGCTTCCTCTTCCTCTGTAACATACGTGTGAATAGCCAAGATTTAATTTTGCTTTAATCTAATAAAGTCGAAGCGGGACTTTTATTTTTCTGAAACAGCTTTCTAAACTCTCATCTTCCCCAGCTGGGAGGTTGGGGGTCGGGGGTGCCAAAGGGCGAGGTTCTGAAGGGCAGGAGACTTGGGGGGACGCAACCATAGAAAGGCCTGGGCGCGAGGGCTTCCTTGCAAAGCCAGCCTTCGCTCCTTCCTGTGCCAGGCCAGGGGCCAGCACTGCATTCGCTTGTGTTGACAGCTTTGGCGCAAACGTAAGAAACGTGGCCGAAATCTTCCTTGGCCAGGAGCGGCCGCCGACCCGGGAGCGAAGTTTGATTTTTTTCTTTGCGTTCCAAATGTATCAGGAATAGTTCCAGTTTGAGGACCCAAACCACTCTGCCTGGAGCGGCAGACTCCTCACGCCTTCTGTCCCCGGATGTCTCCCACCGCGTCCGCCCCGCAGGTCCCGAAGCAGCGTATGTTTTATACACCGCCTCTGAATCTGGAGTCCACCCGCCGCATACTCGGGCGCCCAGGACCTATGATTCCGCTCATTCACAGGACTTTATTCTAGAGGTTCGTCCAGGAGTTTTAATTGTATCGGAACATAATGTGAAAGCAAAATTGAAATAAACGACTTCGTTTTAAGTCTGGAAGGCTGACCCAGTTGCTTCGGCAGCGGGGAGGTCGGGAGCCGGAGCGAGTGGGCGTCCTGGGGTGAAGGGCCAGGAGCTGGGAGCTGCAGCCGGGTGGTCCCCTGCAGTTGTGGTTCCTTTCAGAAAAACTTTTTCCTGGCCCAATATTCAGCAATGAATTTTATTTCCTTTAGGGGCGTGGGGAGAAGGGAGAGTTAGTAATAGCACAATAAGCAACGTTTCTCGGATTTATCCCAGCGGCTGGTTCAAGTTAGAAATTCACGGAGCACCGGGCCTCTGTTGAAACCCAGGCCCGTTTCTTCTCCGCATGCAATCCGGTAAGCCGCGGAGCAGCTATAGCGGGAGCCCTTCCAACCCAGTGGCTCCGGGACCCGCAGATAGGGACTCGTGAGTGAGGAGTGGACACGAGTACTTTTCTGTTTCTGCCCAACAGTTTCCCTTCTACCCTGTCAGGCCCCAGGGAAGTGGGAATGAGAAGAAATAAGGGGCCTTAAAGGGATTTAAAGAAAAACTGTTTTTAATAAAGAGACGCGCTTTTTCCGAAGTCTCCTGGTTGGGAAGGAGAGGTCGGAGACAGTTGGAGCCTTTGGCAGCGAAACTAGCTCCACCCAGCAGCTCTGCCATTGCAGGGCCAGCCCTTTGGGCTTGTGGAGACCCTATAGTCAGTAGGGTGAGTGTAAGCTCGAGGCTCTAGGGCCGCAAAGGTTGGAGAGCCACCGCTCAAGGAAGCTGCCCCTGAACGCTTTGGCGCTCCCCGGGCTGCAGGTGGGTGGGTCAACTCTCTTTCTGAGGGCAAGAACCACCAGGGTTCTGGTTTCCGTGGCTACCAGTTCTGTGGGGTCACCAGGCTGTGTCCCGGTGGAGTGACTTTGGCAAGTCCGCTCTCAGGCACTAAATTTGCCCATTTATATAAAGACAGGGAGAAATCTAAACACCTCTCAGAGTTCCTCCTGCTCTGTGGATCCAGCCCTCCTCTGCTCCCAGACCGGGAGTCTGCAGATTCTTTTGCCTGGGTGAGTGAGTCCTGGCTGCAGCCTGTGCTTACCTGGCTGCCAAGTGGCAGCTCCTGAGTACTAGGCCTTGGGCTAGGGTGCAGGCCAGGGGAAGCCTGTGTCTCTTGGAACTGGGACTCACTCCTGAGCGCCAGCTCTGGAGCCTGGAAGGTGAGTACAGTGGGAGCAAATTGTCCCCAAATTGGAAGAAGAGGGGTTGGTTTTCCTTTGATTCTGCTGTAGCTCAGCAGACCTCCTTCCTGGGAAAGGATTCCTGCCTCCCACAATGTCCGAACCTAGTATTGGAGAACCTTCTTAATTGGGCTCTAGCCTCCCTCTTCTTTCTCCACCTGCTGACCCCTTCCCTTGCCATCTGATGATTCCACCTCCCATTGTTGTCTTTATGCCTCCACACCTGCTGTTCCTGACTGAAGTTGAAGCACCCCTTCTCTCCTCCAGTTTGCAAAGTCCTATCCTGCTGAGGACCCAGGAAGTCCAGCTGAAAGGCTGCCTGCTCTGGGAGGAGGTTCTATCCACACAATACAGGCATTGCTTCCCCGAGGTTCAACACCCCTTCCGCACCTTCCAACCAGGCCTTGTTTTGTGCTGGTTGGGAAGGGAGACATCTGGGGCTGAGCTTGTCTCTTACTGCATGGGTTCCATGGGGCAGAGAGAGCCCACACAGCGCTTAGCCTGCTAACCTGGCATCCCCACCCCAGAGGGCCTGGGGAGATGTGGGGCTCCATGTCTCCCAAACTGCCCTTACTGTCAGGCCTGAGCCTAACTGTGGCCTGAGTGGGGCTGTGGATAGCTCTCCCCAGGGACCTAGAGGTTTGAGTCCTTAGGGTCCTGGCAGGTGTGGTTGGGCCACCTCCCTCGCTTCTGGGGTGAAGGTGAGGTGAGTGTTACTTCTGCTAGAGGCAGGGGAGCCATCTTCTGAGCACTGGGCTTCAGCCGGAAGGGAACCAGAGACTTGAAGACTGAGAGAGATGGAAGAGGAGGAGCACTAGGTAGAGACTACCTTCCTTCCCCCAGCCAGAGGTTAGGGAGGGGACCCATTCAGAAACCCATACCTCACAGTGGCATCCTTTCATGCTTAGAATCCTTTGGGCCCTTCTGGATCTGGAGCCCGCCTCTTGCTTTCATCTAAAATAAACCCCTTCAGAACAAAGCCTGTAGGGGTTCCAACGCCACCCCTTCATTCAACCTTACCCTGGTCCCGAAGGCTCCTCCCCAGCCCAGGTCACCTTGGTCACCTCCTCCGGGAAGCCTTTCATGCCTTTCTTCTCCAGCCTCCCTCTTTGGAGTGTGGCCTCTCTTACCAGCCTGCCTCCTCCCTTCCCGCACCCCGCCAATTCTCCCAGGGCAGAGGCTGTGTCTTATTCTGCGCAGCGTTTCTGGCACCCAGCCAGGCTTAAAGGTACGGTGAGTGGAACTCAGGGAGGCTTCTAGGACCCAACGAGCCCTGACCTTCTCCGCCCGGGTTCTCCACACCGCGGCCGCGCAGGCGAGAAGCCGAGGGTGATCACTGTGGTCTCTGCTGGGTTGCGCTGGGCCACGCACCGGCCCCCCAGCTCGCTTGCTCCCGGCCGCCGCTTCCACCATAAGCCGAGCTGGGAGCGCGCCTTTCAAGCTGCTCTGGAGCACTAATGCTCAGAGACCGGGCGCATCCGCTCTTAATGAGAACATAATTACCCAGATGGAGAGGCAGCCTCACCCCGCTCCTTAATTGTTGCCTTAATGGGGTGGTAGTAGGGGATAGTGCGGGGCGGAGGGAAGGCGTGGGACTCTCCCACAGGTTTCAGGTTGGGTCCTGGGGCGGGGCGGACTCAGTGAAAGGCGAAAGGCCCTGAACTGCGGACGTGTGCGCTGCACTTGGCCTCTGGCTTCATATGAGACCTTAGAATACTCCCCGAATCCCAGCCTTACTTTTTTTCAACTCACAAATGCGAGAGATGGGCTAGAAGACGTCTAGTGCTAGTTCCAGGCGGTCTTACTTTTATGATCAGTGTGGGTGAGTTTAAGCCTTCATCTTGGTGTCCAGCCACCTGTCTCCCGCAGGTGCTGGGCCTAATCACCTCAACAGGCTTTCAAACAAAACACTGAAACCTAATACTGATTCTGGGTGGGGAAGTGGGCAGGGGGGGCAGTGGTGCCCTGGAACCGAAGTTCAGGCACAGCTCCCTTTGAGCTAATTCCACGGAGAAAAAAACAAAACAAGAAAACAAAAAACAAACAAACAAAAAAGGCGGGAGGTGGGGTGGGATTGCCCAGGGGCATTTACAAAGATCTCTCAATCTTTTTGCATAGCGGATACATACGCACTCCCGGAGAGCCTTAGCCGTCCTCGCGTTTCAAATGAAAACAATAATGCCTTCACAACTGGGTAGAGTGAAGACTATGCTAAAAGGTCCAGAAAGTGCTCACCACTGCCTGACACATAGTAGGTGCTGAATAAAACTGGCAATACCAAGGAGCGATCAACACTTGGCGTATCCCACAATCACAGAAACAGGACATAGGGGAACATCTGGGTAATCCCAGCGGCATCAAACATATGTGAAAACTGAAACCAGAGAGCAAGTGAACCTGAATGGTGGATGTAGGAAAAGGACCCTGTGTTCTTTCTTGTTCCTGCACACTGATCCCATCCTCACCCACATCAACCACAGGCATAGGAGATTTTACCCCCTAAATATCTTTCCTCTTCATCCCTTTGCTTGTATATTTGCATCGACCACTGTGGATGAATGTTCTCTGCGGGTCTGTAGGCTCTCCCATCAGACCAAGAGCTCTGTTGGCATGTCTGTGTCCCTTCAGAGGGTGAGCCCTTCAGGGTGAGAAGTGTGTCTTCCTCATCTTGCCTGGTCCTGTGCTACCTACACAGTGCCTGGCACAGAGCAGGTGGCCTGTGATCATGTCATGAGCTAACCCAAACTGTGTCTGGCACAGTTGCAGGATATGGACACAGCCAATGAAAGTGCCCTTCAGGGGACTTCCTGGATCTCTCAGTCCCTCCTGTCTCCCTACCCCCTATATCACTAACAGGAACAACGCTGAAATGGAAGTGCTCTCAGATCCTGGGCAGAGATGGAAACCTTTCTAGGTACCTGCACTTGCTTTTATCTCTTCTTCCTATTTCAATCTGAGCCTAGCCTGTCCCCAGCAAGTCCCAGCTGTGATCCTGAGAAGGCAGTGAGCAGGGACAATGAGAAAGAGGCCAGAATCAGATGTATGGGCTGGTATTTGGATTTATTGCTAGGTCTTCTCACTGGAAAAATGATTTGCTGTGCATAGATGAGGCTGCCTGCACTTCAGGAGGCAGCAAGGAAACACAATGCCGCTGATGTCAGGAAGGAGAGCCTCATGATTCTAAGCAGAGGCCTTCCGGTTGTGTGGCCAC